CTGAGCCAAGGCCCAAGTGTCTTGGGAGAAATGGTAGGCTCTCACTTGCAATCTCGAGCGTAGAACAATGCGTCGCCGTCCACTCTTCCGCGCGCGCGCGTGCAGTGTTGGTGGCCTGGATGTTCCGAGCAGCTTCAGGGCGCGATAATTGAAGTGGAGCGTGATTAACGAAAGTAATGTCTCCGCGAACCGCCGCGGGCCTCGTCCACGGACCACGTGCAGCCCGCGCCATGTCAAACTCATGTCAGTAGCCATCATTGTCGCATCGGCACCTGACAGACCAGGGTCGTTGATATTGCAGCGCCGAGTTTCCGCCTGAGCGCCGCGCGTGACGGTCGCGAGTACTCTCGCCGCGATAAGGGGCGCCGACGAGGCAGAGGACGCAGAAGGCGAGGGTCCAGGGGCCGCAGTCGCCGCGCCCCCGCGTGCATGTCCATCGCGATCAACTTCGAAGGGGCGGAAGACAGCAGAGGGGGGGGGGCACTCTGCGCATGAATTGCTGGAGCTCGTCAAGCGTCTGGTGGGCGCCCTGAACCGTGATCGCGGAATCTGAGACCCCGGCCCTCTGGAGGTGCGTCGCCTTCGCCATGGCTCGTGCTCCTCGCCGCCGAAGCCGCGCTCTCGTCTTCCATGAAGTGAGCGGCGGCCCCCCCCGGCCCGGGCGCCCTCCCGCCCGGCGCGGCCTTCGCGGAGATGCCGTCGTGAACGTTTGAGATATTACTCTGGCGCCGCGTTGGGCTCGAGGATGTTCGTTGAGCGCTGCTGCGCGTCGGCGCGGGCCTCCCGCGTGGCGTGGGGGCGGCGTCGCGCCGGTCGCGCGAGATAGGGTCGCGGCCGGCTCTGGGCGCCAATCGAAGTGCTGGGCTCTATCTCCGCGACCCAGGCGCTCTGGCGATCGAAGAAGAACTTGGCGCCCGCAACGTGTTCCCGAAGAGCTGCTGCCGCGTTTTTGCCGGCGACCCCCGACTGGATCTGGGAAAGGCCCCCTGTCTAAGTGGGGCCGCCAGTGGCGGCGGGGGCGGGGAAGCGCACCCATTGACCTTTGCCAGGGAAACGACGAACGGCAAGCGCTTGAACAGCGCGCCGTCCCGCGAACGCCGCGGCCCCAGTGAACTGCGCCGTAAAGATGCGGTCGAGATCTTCGCCGATGAGCTGGCGGCCGCCGATCCCCGCGTCTTTCAGCCTTTTATCAACCGAACAGGCCGCGTCGCCTTTCTTGACGATCGGGGGCGCCGCAAATCTTTGGGGCGGCGCCGTCGACCTCTCGCTGGAAGCCGCTGCTGGGTGGTCTGAGGGAGGAGGTGCATGGAGGTGCCCGATGTCGTCTAAGAAATGTCGCATCTCTGCCATTTCAAATGCAAATTTGTTGGTGCGTCCATCGATCGGCTTCTTTTTGGCTGAGAGCGTGCCGAACTGGGCCTGACATGCTTTCTCGAGCGCGTCCATCCCTAGTCGGAACGTGGCTTTCACCTGAGTTTTACGTGCGCTAGGTACTGCTTGGGCCGCATTCTCTAGCACCTCGATCGCGCCCCTGGCAGGGTCGATGGCGCGTCGCGCTTCCGTGCTTGCACTGACTGAGGCCATCTCTGCGAGCCCCAACTTGAGCAGTGTAAACAAAGTCTCCAACATTCTATCGATGCACCCCTTGGTGCGTGTATCCCACCCAGCCGGGTTCGCGTCGTCCCCGTCGCCGTCGTCAGCGCGACTGGAGCGGGACCTGTCGTCTTCCCGTGCGATGGGGGCAGCGGGCCAAGAGCCGTCGCGCGCATGGGCGCCAGAAGGATCAGTCTTCCCAACTCATTCTTGGCCTTCTTTTCTCCAACACCATTCGCCGACATGGTCGCATATAGTCTGGCAAGAACGGGGAACTCCAGAATTTGCCCATCATACCGTCTGTGGAAGGCGAGTCTTTTTCAGCAGGAGCTCGCAGGAAACTGAAAGCTGGCCGCGGGCTAACGGCGCCCACTTTGCTTCCGCGGGAACAGACATCTTGAGCCAAACTGGCAGCGGGGGGAAGAGGAGAAGGATGGGTGGGCACAGGGAACATCGCGGATTATTGCGGCAAAATAGGTCGCCGTGGGCTCGATAGGGGGCTGGCGCAGACCTTGGCGCGCGCGCCTGGCGCCACCTCTCGCGGTCAGACACCCAGGGGAACAGCGCGTGGGCAAACGTCACTCGCGCCCCCAGGGAACGCTGACGAAGAAGATTTTGCGTGCATGTATGTATGTGTGTATATGTATATGCATATGTATTTGTAGTTGTATATGTGTATATACATATATATATATGTATACAAGACTGCATTGGCGCTTCGCGCCGTGCGCTTTGTTCCGGACCCTCCCCGGCAGAGCAACAAATCACCGCTTGCTTCAGCGGGGGGGGCTCGAAGCCTGGGCGGGCGACCGGCTCATTTTTCTGATATCCCTGGCGCCTGCTGTTACCACGTTCGCCCGATGCGCTTGCGCGCTTGTGCGCAGGAGCTGGGGGAATGATGATTTTTGCACGCGCGAAGGTCCTTTGAGGAAGTAGGGGGCGTTCCCATGACGCGCCGAGGAAGTCGCAGTAGCACCGAACAAGTCGATTTGCTGTAGCTTCCTGAATGCCCGGAAGGCTCCATTCAGTCAGTAAGTCCTCGATCGTCGAACTTCGAATCTAGATCCATTGCCTGTCTCTCTCGATCGAGGAACTGAAACCTTGAGCCTCAAGCGTGGAACCAAAATCGTTGGGTCAGCTCGATGTACTTCGTAGGAGAACGCTGTCTGGGCGTTTTGGGGGCTCTTTTGGGCCGTCCTGGGGCCCTCTTGGGCCGTCCCGGGGCCTCCTTGGGCCGTCTTGGGGAGCTGGGGCCCTCCAGAAGTCTTCTGAAGCCATCTAAGGCCCTCTTGGGGGCCTCCAATGGCCTTCTTGGGAATCTCCCATGGCTTTCGTGGGTCTCTCTTGGGAGCCTTCTGGGGGCATCTTGGGCTTCTTGCGGGCAGTCTCGGGGCTCTCTGGGGCAGCCTTGGGGCCCTCTTGGGCCGTCTTTCAAGCCTCTGGGGGGCCTCTTGGGCCGTCTTGGGGCGATATCGGGGGCCTGCCGCTTTGGACGCTGCGAAATCCCAAATAGCGGATACGCTAAACTTATACGTTTTCCTGAAGGAATGGGGCGATGTTACTCTTTGCTTCTTCGGGGCTTTCTTAACAGCCTCTTGGGGCGTCTTGGCGGCTTCTTGGGCCGTCTTCAGACCATCGAGGTTCCTCTTGGAGCGCTCTGGTGCTGTCTTGGGTCTCTCTTGCGCCTCTCCGATGACCCCTCTGATCGCCTTGAGTCTGCTCGCAAGGCCCGGCAAGGCGCCCTGGGAGGCCCGGAAGGGCCAGCGGACCTTCTCCAAGGGCGTCTAGGGGGCCGCTGAAACGTCCGAAAGGGTGTTCAGGGCGTCCCTGGGGGGGTGATCCGGTTTAGGGTGGGGGGTGTGCGGGGGTTCCGGGCAATAGAAATATAAGAATAGAAATATATACATATGTATGTGTGTGAGTGTGTGTGTGTGTGTGTGTGTTCGTGTGTGTGTGTGCGTGTGTGTTCGCGTTTGGAGTGGGAAGGGGGGTGATGGTAGTGATGGTGGTGAAGGTGAAGGTGAGGGTGCTGACTGCGATACTGGTAACAACAACGATGGCGATGATGATGCTGAGGATGGTGGTGCCGAAGGGGCAAGATCGGAGTCTGAAGAAGGGTTGGGTGACGATAAGGAAGGAACAAGGACAACGATGGGGCAATGACTGAGTAGGGATGCTGCTGGTGCTGATGATGTTGGCTGAGACATTGAATGTGCACCTGAATCTGACTATGCAGGTGGTTATATTGATGGTGCTGGTGGTGCTGCTGTAGGTGATTAGGATGTGGATGGTGGAGGAGGAGGACGATACCGCGGAGGAACACTATCATGATAGGCTGGAGGATTGAGAGGTGGTTCGGAGGGATGAGGTCGAAGAGAGGGCAGGCAATGAGGAGGCGGAGGCGAAGAGGATGAACGGGATAAGGTGGAGAAGAGTCATAAGTTTGATGACGGGATCAATAATAGGTTTCTGACGAAAGATGTTAAAGGCGATGAACATGATGATAGCGATGACGATAGTGGTGACGGAGGATGATTGAGGTGAGGAGGCATAAAAGCATGAGGAGGGAGGACGAGGATGAGGATGATGAGGGCAATGGTGATCATCATGCTGATTATCATGAGTACGATTGCGGGAGCATGCGTTTATAGCATAATGGTGAGGAAGCACATGCTTAGTTTTTAAATATTGACGCCGGCGGGTAAATGTCTGGGAAGTGGGTGGGTAGGGGGATACAAGAAGGAGGAGGAAGAACATGGGGAGCGAGACAGAGAGAGGGAGAGAGAGGGACAGAGAGAAAGAGAGAGGAACAACGAGAGAGAGAGAGAGAGATGGATGAGATGGCAGTGGGCTTGCTGCCCAGTCATTGAAGGTGAGGACGGGGAAGCATGACATGGAAGAGGGGCAGTAACTGGGGGAAGAGGATGTGGACAATTATGGAGAGGAACGGGGTGGAGGAGGAAATGGAGCAGAGGAGAACAGGGGGGATCAGGAGGAGCAGGAGGAGGAAGAGGAGGATGAGGAGGACGACGGCATCATCATCATAATCATCACCATCATCACCATCATCAGCATCATAATCCCCATCACAATTAATTCATACATATAATCATCATCGTCATCATCGTCGCACGTGCGCCAGATGGTGGCTCCAGGGCCCTGCGCGATCAACAGCGGCCTGAGACGAACATTCAGAAACATGCTTCAACATTGCATGTGAACCTGCGTTCGCCAGGCGACGAAAGAGCTCCGGCCTGCGAGCGGGGTGCCGAAGAGCGAACGGGCGAGGCCAAGCGGGAGAGCCCAGACAGCCGAGGCCATGGGGAAGGAGGACGCAGGGGAAGGGCGAGAAGGAAGCACTGGCTAGAAACTCGGACGACGACGACGGCGAGAAGGGGGAGGACGGCCTGGCGGCCACGCTCGCGAGCTGCTTGCACAGGTTGCCCAGCTGGGACGCGCGCTCCCTCGACGGCCGCGCGCCCTCCCCCCCCCCCATCTGTTATTGCCAAGGGCGCGCCGCTGCATGACCCCAAGGGGGGGCGGGGGGTTTGGGACCCCCCCCCTCCCCTTTCCCCGATCCGTCGTCGGGGACCCCACCCCCCTCCCCCCCTTTCCCGATCCGTCGTCGGGGACCACCCCCCTCTCCCCCCCTTTCCGGGTCCGTCGTCGGGACCCCCCCCCCCTCCCCCCGTTTCAAAAGGGGGGGGGCTGGGGTCCGAACCCCCTCCCCCCTCCCCCCCTTTGGCCACCAAATTCGACCCCCCCCCTCCCCCCCTTTCGCCACTCTCCGGAACCCGACCCCTACCACCCCGAACACTAATCCTCACCCTTGCCCGAACCCCTAACCCTAAACCCAAACCTAAATCCTAGCCCACAACAGTACTCACTACTCGTTACGCACTACCCACTACCCACAATTCACTACTCGCTACTCACTACTTACTTTTCACTACTCACTACTCCCGACTCACTACTCACTACTCACGACTCACTACCCACGACGCACTACTCACTACTCACTACAAACTGCTCACTACTTAATACCCACTACTCAATACTCACTAAACACAACTCACTACCACTACTCGCTAATCACAATTCCCTACTCACTACCCACTAACCACTATCCACTACTCACACTTTACTACTCTCTACTCACTGCCCACAACTCACTACTCACAATCCACTACTCACTACTCGCTACTCCCTACTCCCTACACAGTACTCACTACTCACTACTCGTTACTCCCTACGCCCTGCTCGCTACCCAATACGCACCATTCCCACTACTCACTACGCTCCCACTACTCACTACTTACTACTTCGTACTCCCTACTCCCTACTCGCTACTCCCAACTCACTACTCAATACTCACTACTCACTGAACACTACTCACTGCCCACTACTCACTACTCACTACCCACTAACCACTATCCACTGCTTACTACTGAGAACTCACAATTCACTGCTCACTACGCACTGCCCAGAACTCTACTCACTATCCGCTACTCGCTACCCAATATGACCTATTCACTACCCACTACGCACTACTCGCTACTCAATACTCCCTAATCCCTACTTCCTACTCACTAGTCACTAGTCGCAGGTCGCTACCCACGACTCACTACTCACTACTCACTACTCACTAAATTCTACTCGCTACCCCCTAATCACTATCGACTACTCAATACGCGCTTCTCGCTTCTCACCTACTCTCTACTCACTACTCACTATTCCCTACTCACTACCCCCAACTCAATACTCACTACTCATTACTCGCTACTTCCTACTCGCTACGCACTACGCCCTACCCACTACTCACTACTGACTCCTGGCTACTCCCTCCTCACTACTCACTACTCACAACGCCTTACTCGCTACTCACTACTAACTACTCACTACTCCCTACTCGCTACTCCCTACTCGCTACTCACCACTCACTACCCACGACTCTCTACTCACTGCGCACTACTCACTACTCATTACTCACTACTCACTCCTCGCTATTCGATAGTGCCTACTTTACCCCCTACTCCCTGCTTGCTACTCGCTATGCACAATTCACTACACAATACTCACTCTTCACTACTCACAATTCCTTACTCATTACCTTCTTCCCACTACTCACTACCCTCTACTCACTACTCACAAATCTCTACGCGCTACTCACTACTACCACTACCCGTTACCCAATACCCACTACTCACCACTTACGACTCACTCACTATCAAATACCCACTACTCACCAATCGCTACTCAAAATATTCTACTCTCTTTTCACTCCCGAGAGGCCCCCTCCCCAGCCCCCTGGTCGGCGCAAAGGTGGGGAGGGGGGGGGTCGAACCCTCCCCCCCCTCTCCAGCGCCAAGGAGAGGGGGGGGGTCCAGACCCCCCCCCCCCCCTTCAAGGGGAGGGGGGGGGTCGGAACCTCCTCCCCCCCTTTCCGGGTGGGAGGGGGGGGTCGAAAATCTCACCCCCCCTTTGAAAGGGGAGAGGGCGGGGGTTCTGCGAGCACCCCCCCCCTTTAGTGTATTCAGGGCCATCCACTGGCGCGCTTTCGTTATTGCCCCCTCCACCTGCTCCTCCTCCGCCGCCTCTTCCCTCCATCCTCCCTCTCCCTCCCCCTCTCCCCCCCCTTTCCCTCTCCCTCTCCCTCTCTGTCCCCCTCTCCCTCCCCCTCTCCTCCCTCTTCTCTCTCTCCCTCTCTCTCTTCCCTCCTCTTTCCTCCCTGCTTCCTCTCCCTCCCCCTCGCCCCCCTCTCCCCCGTGCTCCCCTCCTCTCCCCTCCCCTCCCCCCCCTCTCGCTCGGCCCCTCGCCTCTGCCTCCGTCTCCTCCATACTCACCCTCCCTCCTCCGCAGCTTCCTCCTCCTCCTCCTTGTCGTCGTCGTCATTCGTCGTCGGCCTTCTTCTCCTCCTCACTCCCTCCTGCCCTCTTCCTGCCCCCTGGCGACATGGGCATAGCTGGAAGAATGCTGGCGCCGTCCCCCGAATGTCCGTGCCCCAGAGGAGGAGAGAATAGAACGTGGACAACGTAGAGGTGGTGGAGGAGGATCGGGGACGAGGAGGATCATTATGAGGATCGGAGAAGAGGATGAGGATGATGAGGAGGACGGGAAGAAGGGCGAACACGGGAGCAGCCAGAGAGGGACAGGAAGAGGAGGTGTAGCTTGAGAGAGGATGATGACGAGGAGGAAATGGGGAGGGATGAGGAGTATGGGGGGGCAGGAGGAGGGAGAAGGAAGAGGGGGATGGCCTTCAGATGCGTTGGCCACTTCCTGACACAATAACGGGCTGGACCGAAGTACCCCCCCAAATTTATTCCTCCTCCTCCTCCTTTCCCCGTTATGCTGCTCCTCTTTCTTGCTCTTCTCCTCCTATCTTCTCGATTTCTTCGATCTCCTCATTTCTCCACTCTCCTCTTCTTTCCTCTTTTCTCCTCTATTTGTTTCTCCTCTCCTCTCCTCTCTTCTCTTCTCCTCTCTTCCGCTTCTTCCTCCTCCTCATCATCCCTGTCCGAGAGCCGTCTCACCTTCCCAGCTCTTTGTGGGCCCGCCGTGGCAATCTAGGGACCGTTTAGGGCTACCTTCCTGCAATCCTCGGCCCCCCTCCCCGTTTATTGCTAGCAGCCCCTGCTGCCGAGCGCCCAACTTCTGGAGCGCCAGGCCCCCCAGCAGAAACACCCTGCACCTCCTGCCGAGACCCTGGCTGCAAGTTCGTGGCGTGGCGACGTCGGCGCTGGTGTCTGGCCCGAGGAGACCAAAAGATACCAATACCTCTACTCCGCAGACCTCTCCCGGGGGCGTTCTGGCTAGAATTTCGAAGCGACTCCAGAGGAGGCGACGAGGGCCTCTCGGGTCCCAACATGGCGAAAACGAGAGAACGTAGCGGTATTGGTACCTTTTCCTCCCCTGAGCCCTGCCATGCGACGTCCTGATTTCTTTAATACGGGGACCCTGGAAGTCACGACCCTTTCCCCGGTCCGAATTCTTATCCTGCGTCGTTTTTTGGTGGTCTCGAAGCCCGGCGAGGGCCCCCCGAGGCCGAAATTTGCCAAAAACATCCCGTCCTGAATTTCTTACGACGCGATCATGTCTGGGTTCCCTCCTCTGATGACTACCGCGCGGATCGCCCAGCCCTGGGCGGCCGCGGCCTTACAACAGCGCGGATTGTTCGACGCCGGGCGGGTCCGAGGCCGCTGGCGACGTGCACCCATCGAGCGCCCACGAGAGGGTCGCCGCCACGTCGACCGACACGCCACGCCACACGAGCGATGAATAAGAGAAACAATAAGAATACTAGACACACCAATTGTACTACGACGACGACGACGACGACTACTACTACTACTACTACTACATCTACTACGATTACTACTACTACTAGTAGTAGTACGACTACGACTAGACTACGTAGTAGTAGTACGTAGTAGACTAGCTACTACTACTACTACTACTACTACTACTACTACTACTACTACTACTACGACTACTACGACTACTACTACTACGACTACTACACTATACGACTACTACTACTACTACGACTACTACTACTACTACTACTACTACTACTACTGCTACTACTACGACTACTATTACTACTACTACTACTACTACTACTACTACTACTACTACTACTACTACTACTACTACTACTACTACTACTACTACTACTACTACTACTACTACTACATCAACAACAACAGCAATGATTTTAATATCGTTCGCCCAAATATGCTCGACTGTCCAATGACGCGTATTTCCCAAACCCTCGACATCCGCCCTCTTCGTCTTCGACCGAACCCCTTTTGGGGATATACCTTGCTTCCCTGCAGGCCGGGCCCCGGCGAGCGGCGGGGCGGCCGCGGACCGTCGGCCTGGCCAGCGGCAGCGCTGATCGGCGGGGCGGCCGCGGACCGTCGACCCGACCCCAAGAGGGATGGACAGAGGACCGACCACGACGACGACGACGACGACGTCGAAGACGACGGCGACGACGACGACGACGGCGACGACGAGCGAAAGCGAGAGCGAGAGAGAACGACAGCAGGGCCACGAAGAGCACGAAGTAGGCCACGAAGGGCGACAGCGGGGACACGAAGGGAATGCGTATGGGGCCACGAAGAGCGCGAACGAGCGGGGGCCACGAAGTGCAGATAATGCGGGGCCACAGAAGGCAACTATGGGGCCACTGAGGGTAGCAACTGGGCCACGTAGGACAGTGAGGGGGACACACATGGCGACAGCGGGGCCACGAAGGGCATGCACATGGGGCCACAACGGGCGCGACTCTTGGGTGCCTGGGCGTCGGGAGCGCGGCGCCTGGGCAAATTGCAGGAAATTCCAACACAAGGCCATACTTGAGTAAGTTGCTAGCAAGTCTCCAGCGAGAGTGCGACTCCAGAGCGCTGGGAGAGCGATTCCTGAATAAATTCTGAAGAGGTCCCAAGCGAGAGCGCGATTC